GAAGATAAGTTTTCTCTGATTTGTGAGGGTTCGTATTTTAGCTACTATGAGAGACCAATGAATATTTGTGGCGAATGTATTTTTCTCTGTATAGGGAATAGGCATTTTGACCGAGCCCCCCCCCCCCCCCCTCTCCCAAATTGGTGAAAGATGGTTAGGCTGACAAGATACATGATAAGTCCATCTGCAAGAAGAATAGTTAGCGCGTAGCACAACGGTCAGAATTTTGGTACGAGTGCAGAAGACCTGGGTTCAATACTTGAGAGGACACTCAAAATTGAAAAAGTAGTTGCACTGGCTGCCCAGAGCATCAGTAGTCAAAGCTGTCGCCTACATACCTCCTGCGGGAGGACCTGGTTTATCACTTGAAAACCAGGCAGCACAGGGCTTTCCTCCATCCTTGGGTGGCGAGGAGTAGTTACTGCTTTTTGACAACCCAACCCCCCCTCAGAAAGTTGGCCTGCTCAGGATTGGCTTACAAATTTTGCGCCAATCTACCCCACAACCTGGATTGGTTGCAGGTTGTGGCAAAATCGCCACCACAACCCCAACCTCATGAAAAAGGTGATAAGAAACGAGGAATGAATGCATTGAGCAGAATGAGGAGTACAAGTAGTAAACCCTCAAGTGTTGTACCCCATATGAATTGCCCCACTACAACCTACACAAACTATAGCATATATGCCTGACACACCCCCATAGGCAAAATGGGGGAGAACAAGGGGTCACAAGACCAGTCAAGCAAAGCAAAGCAAGCTCAGGGTGGATCACAACGTCACCACACAGTCCGAGCACAAGAGCAAGGCCACCAGGCCAGTTCACATGCAAGATCATATATAAAGGTAAACAAGCAAGTGCAGGTATAGAAAGAATACAGTACAAACAAGATCACGAAGTGAGCAAGTGAGGCCAAGTAGGCACAAGACCTAGCATAGCACAGAAGCGCTGATGATCCCAAGGCGGAAGGGCCTTGGTGAAGATATCAGCAGTGTTGGCCTCAGAGGCCACGTAGGTGAGGCGGAGCTGACCACGCTGTTGTAGCTCACAAGCCACGAAGTAGCGAAGAGCAATGTGCTTTGTTCTGTGCTCCAGTCTATGCTCCCGACACAAGGCCAGCATGGCCTTGTGGTCTACGTACAGAACTGGAGAAGAACGAGGCGCCTCTCCTAGGTTTGTCAGCAGGAAGGTGAGCCAGCATAGCTCCTGTGCAGCCATGGCCCCCGCGTAGATCTCAGCCTCACAGCTGAAGGTGAGAACAGAAGACGAGCGGGTAGACCGCCACGAAATAGAGCCGGAGCCAAGGCTGAAGGTGTAACCCAGTGACGACCGCTTTGTCTGCTGGTCGTCAGCCCAAGAAGCGTCTGTGTGACCTGTGAGGACCACTTGACGTCACCCTCCAAGCACTAGCCCCATGCTCGACATATTGCACACGTAGCGGAACACCCTCTTCGCTGCAGCCATGTGCTCTGGTCGGTGTCTCCCAGGAGCAACATAGCGTGCCAAGATGCTAAGAGGGTATGCAAGGTCAGGTCGTGTGCAAGTCATCAGGTACATGAGGCAGCCAACAAGCTCTAGGTACGGGCCACTCGGCTCTACCGACTCATTTGAAGGCAGAGCTGAGAGCGAGTGGCGAGTAGACAGAGGAGTGGCCTGAGGCGAGGAGTACGTGAAGCCGAAGCACTCAAGGACCTGCTGCACCATGTGTGACTGAGTCAGGGTAATGGTGCGCTGTGCTCTGTCCCGGATGATCTGCAAGCCAAGGTAGCTGCGTAGTTCACCCAGGTCTGTGCACGTGTGTCTCTTCTGCAGCTCGGACTTCACGTGGGCGAGTCCAGCGGTGTCAGCAGTGGCAAAGACCAAGTCGTCGACGTACACGAGGATGTAGAACGGCGACAAAGAGGTGTCGGTGCGCAGAAACAGCCTGGAGAAGGAGCGAACCGAAGAGCCGCAACTGTGGTCGTCAGTGTGTCGTATCACTCAAGGGGCGCGTTGCAGAGACCGTAGACTGGCCGCCTGAGGCTCCACTGGGTACCAGGAGGAAACGACCCAGTGAAGCCAGGTGGGCGACGCAGCCAGATCTCCTCGTGCAGGCTGCCCTGCAGGAAAGCTGTGCTGAAGTCAAGAGAGTGAAGCTTGTAGTCGCGCTGAGCGGCTATGTGCAGCACCACCCAAAGATATGTCATCTTCAGGGTGGGAGAGAAGGTATGAAAGTAGTCAACTCCGTGCCGCTGACTAAAGCCTCGAGCCACGTAACGCGCCTTGAAGACAGGCGGAGAACCCGGCAGCCGCTTCACCCTGAAAATCCACATGTCACTGACGATGTTCGCTCCAGGTGGGGGAACCTCGTCGACATGGGTGTTTGTGGACTTCCAGGAAGCCATCTCTACGTCCATGGCTAACTACCTCTGAGAGGAGTAGGGACCCTCGATCGCCTCAGCGTACGATCGAGAAGTCGGGATGTCTGGTGCATCCGGGTCTCCCTCAAGGGCAATCAGCGTGGATACGAGATGAGGCAAAGCAGCAGCAAAACACTGGAACTCCTCCTGCCTGTCCTCAAGGACGTACGTGCTAAGAGCACACCCACCCCCGACGAACGGAGGACAGACAGACTCAGACTCAGCAGCAAAACTAGAGGCGTAGTCTAGACGATAGCGAGCAGCGAAGTTGACAAGCTCAGCCACTAAGGCAGACGCAGCAGTGGACTCAAAGGAAGGGTCAGTGACAACAGTGGCCAAGAGACCCGTGACAGAAGGATTGGTAGCACGGAGAGAGTCAAAGGCCGGGTCAAGGAGAACAGGAAGAGAGGACTCTGGAGGAGACGGCAATGGGACACGCAGAGGAGCAGTGGAAGGGCGCAGTGCCATCTGATGTGTGCCTGGGACCGCAGGAGGACGCGGAGCACGACGACTAGCGCGAGCAGCACGAACAGGCAACGCAGGACGAGACGCAAGTTCACGACGCTCAGCAAGACCTCCAGTAGGACCAGTGTAGGGAGAAGGAGCAAGTAGAGGGGAGGCGGACTGTAATTGTGACTGCGACTGGACAGGCTGTGGACACTCTAAGGGAGGAGCAGGACCAGTAGAAGGCGGGAGACCAAGAACCTGCTCAAGGAGCGGAACGAAGTACGACCGCGGCCGCGCAGCGCCTCCAGAACCAGCAGGGACAGCACCAGTATCCCTAGCGGCAGCACCAGCGCTAGCAGCACCTTCAGCTCCAACAGCGTCAATTCCAAAACCCTCTGACGCACCAGCGCCAGCAGAACTACCAACGCCAACACCCCCAGCAGCTCCAGCTCCAGCAGCTCCAGCAGCACCAACTCCAGCTGGACCGGCAGCTCCAGTACCGCCAGCAGCTCCAGTAGGACCAACTCCTGCAGCCCCAGCAGCACCCCCGGGCCTAGCAGCTCCAACACCGTCAGTTCGAGTACCTCCAGAATCAGCAGCAACGGTAGTGCCTCCAGCTCCAGCAGCACGACTCTAGCGCCGAGCAAACCACTCGCGCAGCTCCTCGGAGAGAGTGGCTCCCGCCTCGACGAGGCACCGCCGGCGGTCACACGAGCAGACCCAGCGCCCCTAGGCTCCGCACCCCCAGGCTCCGCACCCCCTGGCTACGCACCTCCAGACTCAGCACCCCCAGGCTCAGCACCCCAAGGCTCAACACCCCCAGGCTCAGCACCCCCAGACTCAGCACCCGCAGGCTAAGCACCTCCAGACCCGGCACCTGCGGGCTCAGTACCTCTAGCAGCACCAGAGTCAACAGCTACCTCGACAGGCTCGACTGCGTCTACCTGGGACACACCTGACGGGGCAGGACCTTGAGGGGGGAGGGGGTCTACCGGGGGAGGACCTGGCACAAGGAAGAGCGGCGGCGGGGGAAGGGGCGCAGCGTGGTAGGGGAAGAGACGGTAGTAAGGCACCGACTCGTCAAAGGTGACGTCCTGGAAGGACAGAACACAGGGCGAGGTGGGGTGGTAAAACTGCCAATCAGGCGCGTCAGGGGGGAAGCCAAGGAAGACGCAGGGAACAGCGCGGGGAGACAGCTTGTCCGCAGACAAGTCGCGGACAAACGCGCGAGATCCCCAGACCCGAAACGCAGACGCATCGCCAACCTTCCCCGTCAACCGCAAGGTGGGGGAGGTCTCTGGCAAGGAGACCCGGGGCTGAAGGTTGAGCTGATGCGCCGCGTACTGAACCGCAAACGGCCACAGAAAATGGGAGGCAGCGGCATGGATCATGGACGTACGAGCGACGTCCATAACCATACCAATGCGGCGCTCAGCAATCCCATTTTGCTGTGGAAAGGCTAGAAGCGTGAAGGTCTGGCGGATGCCCTGTGCATGACAGAAGGCTTCTAGACGGGCAGAGGAAAACTGCCCGCCTCTGTTAGAGTGCAAACGCAGAATAGGAAAGTCCGAGCCGAGACTCTCTCTGAGCTGGAGACGAGCTGCGCGGATCCAGTCGATCAACGGACGCAAGTAGTCGTCAACCACCAACAGGAAGTAACGCTTCTGCCCCTAGCCACGGACGCGGGCGGGGCCCCACACGTTTATGTGAAGAGTTTGCAACGGAGCCTCTGTTGGAGGAAACTCGGAGGAGTAAGGGGTGGCGCGCTGTCGCCCCTCGATGCAGGGGACGCAAGTAGGGGCAGGCCCCGGAGGTAGGGGAGGGAGAGACCGGGGGAGACCAGAGAGAAGGACACGAGAGGCCATGCCTTGGAGACGAGGCAGAGAGGGGTGACCAAGGCGGTGGTGCCATAGGAGAGTCCGGTGAGACAGGAGACGACACGAGCAGGGGGCACACTCAGAACTAGACCTGGACTCTGCAGCAAACACCTGACTCGACGCAGCGACCTGACGAGGCTCAGCAGTCTGAGGAGACTCGGTACCAAGGGTGTACAGGCTCGACCCCGGCTGACGGGTGAACGTGGCCAAGTGTCGGCCTGTCCAAGCACACGTGCAGTGGGTCACCCGCTGTCTCACAAGAGTGAACACGTCAACCCCCCTATCCTGTAGATCAGCTCAACTCACCAAGTTCGTAGAGAACAAGGGGAGGTAGAGACCTGACAGGGTGCTAGAGGGAGCTGCGGGACACGGTAAGTTAGTGGAGAAGCGAGCAAGGACAAGACCCCTAGAGGGGTCCGCCAGGGAGACCGCAACGGGCCGACTAAGCGGCGTAAGTGTGGTGCGGTCTCGAAAGAAGGAGCGGGAAGCACCCGAGTCAAGGGTGAAGGTGTGTAAGGCCTGAGCCAACGTGGTACCTGAGAGGGCAGACTCACCAGCACCTTGGGCAGCAGACGCACTAGCACCTAGAGCAGCAGCCTCACCAGCACATAGAGTAGCAGGCTCAATGCCCGGGTCACGCGGAACACACAGGTAACAATCACCCTCAACACTATGAGCAACGGCATACATGGCAGCAAGAATAGCATCAAAATCAAGATCAAAGATAGCAACCCCCGCCCTAGAGAGCTCTCCCCAGCGAGGGATCTCAGTGGCCTCAGGGAACTGGTGACGCCACGCGTCCGTCAGGCAGCCGAAGCAGGGCTGGGTGGAGTGCGGGCCCCTGCACTGCTCACCACCGCGGTCACCGGTGCGGAGAACATAGGTGGAGGGACCCGTACCCCGACCGCGCTGATGCGCAGCGTACCACTCACAAAGCTGCTGAGGGGACAGAGTCTCACGACTGCGCTGCTGCTTCTGGCGCGTACCACCACCAGAGCCACTCCTCTGCGCAGAGCTGCGACCAGGTCCACTGCTGCCGCCGCCGCCTGCGCCACCTCTGCTGCCTCCGCCGCCTCCACCACCTCCGCCGCCTCCGCTCCCTCCGCCAGCGCCGCCGCCTCCTCCGCCTCCACTGCTGACACCAACACCTTTACCCTCACCACCACTCCCACCATCACCCCCACCCCCTCCACTGCCTCCCCCACCACCTCCACCGCCCCCGCCAGCCCCTCCAGCGCCCTTGCCCTTGCCGGTGCGGCGTCTCCCGCTCGGGGCAGACGCAGCGCCGACCGACTCGAAACCAACGACGTCGGCCGCAGCAGCAGAGGCAACAGAGGTTAAGAGGGGGGAGGGGGAACACCCCTCAAAGACGGGGGTTCGAGGGTCACCACGAGAGACTCCTACAGCGACTATGCTCTTCTCTGCTGCTAGGAGGCTCTTCTCGAGGAGGTGAATGGTGAGAGTGGTGGGGCAAACTGAGACGAAGTGGTCTCTGACTACACGGAGAAAGTCAGGGAACCGGGTGACTATGTAGTAGAGGGTGATGTACATGAGGGGGGGGGGGGGGGGGGTTCTTGGCGCAGAATTTGTTGTGTGATGCAACCATATGCATTCACGTCTGTCTGCCTCCCATCATGTGTTTGTGCGTTGCATGCGTGGTGTGAGCGTGTGCAAGAAATTTGTGTCTTGTGTGGTTTGGATTTTCTGTGTGTGTGTATGTTATTTGGCTTGAGCAGATATCTGAAGTGATTCCTCTACTCAAGAGCTTTCCGACGAACCAAGAATCGTCGCGATCGGAGCACAACCAAGAAAGTTACGAACATTGGAGTTCGTATGCTTATATATTTTGGTTGCAGCTACTTTGGGAAGTTTTGGCATTGACTCAATATGGGGTAGAGACTTGTGGGGGTTGGGAAATTTGAACCCATCATTGTAGGTGCTGCCAAGAGGTCGGGTGAAGCCAAACCAGGTTGGTAAGTGTGGCCAAGTTGTGGTGAGGTGGATGGCATGGGTTGGAAAGTGACAAAGGTCAAAGCTTGTTGCTGGGCGGCTCGGCTGCTGGGCGGCTCGGCGGCTGGGCGGCTTGGCTGCTGGGCGGCTCGGCGGCTCGGCGACTCGACTGTTGGGCGGCTCGGCTGCTGGGTGGCTCGGCTGCTTGGCAGGTGGGCAGCTCGGCTGCTGGGTTGCTCAGCGGCTCGGTCGCTGGGCGGCGGATTGGCGACAGGGCCGCTAGGGGAGGGCGACAGGGCCGCAGGTGACGGCGACGGGGCCGCAGGTGGCGGCGATGGGGCCGCAGGTGGCGGCGGGGCCGCAGGTGGCGGCTGCGTGGCCATAGGTGGCGGCGACGGGGCCGCAGGGGGCGGCGATGGGGCCGCAGGTGGCGGCAACGGGGCCGCAGGTGGCGGCGACAGGGCCGCAGGTGACGGCGACGGGGCCGCAGGTGGCGGCGACGAGGCCGCAGGTGGCGGCGACGGGGCCGCACGTGACGGGGACGGGGCCGCAGGTGGCGGCGACGGGGCCGCAGGTGGCGGCGACGGGGCCGTAGGTGGCGGCGACGGAGTCTCAGAGGGGCCGCAAGGGGCCTAGACGGGGCTGCAGAGGGGCCGCAAGGGGCCGAAACGGGGCGGCGACGGGGCCGTAAGGGGCCGGAAAGGGCGCCGCGAGGGGCCGAAAGGGGGCTGCGCGAGGGCCGTAAGGGCGGCGCGAGGGGCCGTAAGGGGCCGTAAGGGCAGCGCAAGGGGCCGTAAGGGGTCGTAAGGGCGGCGCGAGGGGCCATAGAGGGCGGCGCTAGGGGCCGTAAGGGCGGCGTAAGGGGCCGTGAGAGGGGCCACAAAGGGCGGCGCGAAGGTAGGGAGGGCACCCAGAGCGCGACTCGGGCAGGAGTGAAGCGCGCTCCGGGTAGGAAAAAAATCGTGGTGGGCCCTAGGTAGCGTTCCCTCTAGGGAACCTGCTCGATACCATGATAAGAAACGAGGAATGAATGCATTGAGCAGAATGAGGAGTACAAGTAGTAAACCCTAAAGTGTTGTACCCCATATGAACTGCCCCACTACAACCTACACAGACTATAGCATATATGCCTGACAAAAAGTACCCCCCCAACCAAACCTTGCACGAAATTGGCGGGATTCGCCAGTTGTGTTTGAATCCTTCGCGCTCTCATTTCTGGAAAGGGATCATTTCGTGTGCAAATCAGACTGCATCTTAGGGCATGCACCCAAAATACCCCCAAAAAATACCCTTTGGTATGTAGACCGCAGCTTTAAGTTTCCGTATGGCCCCGGATATAAGCGCAGGCCTATGTTGAGCGCATGCGCTTATATCTGGAGCAATGCGCTTATGGTTGGTCCTCAATTATAAGCGCACCCCCTGTAAAACCTTGACTTATTATAAGCGCATCAATAATTATACTATTAAATACTAATTATTACAGTAAGGATTTCCCTTTTTGCAGCGAGTCCAGATCCGTTCCTACTTGTTTGACTCGCTCGAGGGCAAGCGATTCGCAGGAGAAGCGAAACGGCGTGAAGCTGACTGACTGACAGCACATTGTTGGGAGGGGGGGGAGGGAAGATGGGCGCTGGAAACGATTGTCCTATGCGTTGTGCGAGCGAAAAAGGGGCAGGCGGGGGGGCTCGGGAACGACTGTGCCTTTGCGCTTCGATCAAGCGACTCCGTGCGACTGGCTCGTACATTGGTTCGGGGCGAGCTTGACACATCCCTCTTCGTTGTGACGTGTCCTTGCCCTTGTGCAGCGGCTGAAATCACCCTCGCGCGATTCTCTGATGTGGGACGCTATAATGTTCTGATCCGGTTGAAATTGCACGACAGAGATGTACAGTTTGGTGAATTTAAAACACATTTCTGTGATTGTCATTTTATAAGCGCATGCGCTTATAAATTTGACTCAATTATAAGCGCACCCTCCCAAAAAACAATGTTTTATTATAAGCGGAGGTGCGCTTCTATCCGGGGTATTACCGTTTCTCTGACAAATCTGAGTAACGCTCATAATTAACCCTGAATTTCAGAGTTCCCTAGAAAACAGCTATGGAAATCCGAGTAGTGGAAAAAAAAAAAAAAAAAACCCTCCCGAAGGTTGACTTGCTGGTGCTTCGATATGTTTCGCTTCACTTGTGTCTTGGTGTTTCGACATGACAGAGGCGCTTAATCAATTGTTTCCAACACTCCCCTTTGCTTCTGGAGTGTCGCTGCTGGTGACGTGGCTCTATCCAGTCAGCAGCATGCATAACTCGAACTTCTGCTTTCTGAGCTTCTTGGTCAAGTAGTCAGCTGCCATTTTGGATGTAGGGCAGTATGACAGCTCGAGTCTCCCCTCCTCGATCTCGTCCTTCACGAAGAAATATCGTAGGGCGATGTGTTTCGTTCTGTTTGCGAAACCGTTCTTGTTGGCTATGCGAATTGCTAACTGGTTGTTGCAGAACAGAGTGAAGTTGGGTAACTATGAGAAAATGAACCAGAATGAATTGAATGAGGGAATGTTGGGTACAAGTGCAAACCCTAGAAAGCTGTACCCCATATGTGCTACCCCACTAAAGCCTTCAACAGCTATGTCATATAAACCTGACACACCCCCATAGGCAAAGTGGGGGAGACCAAGGGGTCACAAGACCAGAAAAGCAAAGCAAAGCAAGCTCAGGGTGGATCACAAAGTCACCACACATTCCGAGCACAAGTTCAAGGCCACAAGGCCAGTTCACATGAAGGATTACATATATATATTAGGCTAGACAAGCAAGAGTAGGGTATATACATATATATATATGTAACAGTACAAACAAGGTCAAGGGGTGAGCAAGTGAGGAAAGGCAGGCACAAGACCCAGCTGAGTACAGAAACGCTGATGATCACAAGGCGCAAGTGCCTTGGTGAAGATATCAGCAGTGTTGGCCTCACAGGCCACGTACACAAGACACAGCTGACCACGCTGCTGCAGCTCACGAGTAAGGAAGTAGCGAAGAGCAATGTGCTTCGTTCTGTGCTCCAGTCTCTGCTCCCGACACAAGGCCAGCATGGCCTTGTTGTCTACGTACAGCACTGGAGGAGAACGAGGCAGCTCTCCAAGGTCAGTCAGCAGGTAGGTGAGCCAGCGAAGCCCCTGTGCAGCCATGGCTCCTGCGTAGATCTCAGCCTCACAGCTGGAGCCGAGAATAGAAGACCAGCGGGTAGCCCGCCACGAAACAGAGCCGGAACCAAGGCTGAAGGTGTAACCCTGTGACGACCGCTGTGTAGCCTGGTCGCCAGCCCAAGAAGCGTCTGCGTGCCCAGTGAGGACCACTGGACTCTGCCCTCCCAGCACAAGCCCCATGCCCGACGTACTGCACAAGTAGCGCAACACCCTCTTCGTTGCAGCCATGTGCTCCGGTCTGTGTCTCCTAGGAGGAACATAGCGTGCGAGAATGCTAAGAGGGTATGCAAGGTCAGGTCGTGTGCAGGTCATCAGGTACATGAGGCAGCCAACAAGCTCTGGGTACGGGCCACTCGACTCTACGGACTCATCCGAAGGAAGAGTTGAGAGCGAGTGGCGAGTAGGCAGAGGAGTGGCCTGAGGCGAGGAGTACGTGAAGCCGAAGCGCTGAAGGACCTGCTGCACCATGTGTAACTGAGTCAGGGTAATGGTGCGGCGTGCTCTGTTCCGGGTGATCTGCAAGCCAAGGTAGCTGCACAGTTCACCCAGGTGTGTGCACGTGTGTCTCTTCTGCAGCTCAGACTTCACGTAGGCGAGTCCAGCAGTGTCAACTCTGGCAAAGGCCAAGTCGTCGACGTACACGAGGATGTAGAACGGCGGCAGAGAAGTGTCGGTGCGTAGAAACAGCGACGGGTCGGCAGAAGAGGGAGCAAACCCAAGAGCCGCAAGCGTAGTCCTCAGTGTGTCGTGCCACTGACGCGGTGCCTGGCGGAGACCGTAGACTGGCCGCCGGAGGCTCCAGTGGGTGCCAGGAGGAAAAGACCCAGTGTAACCAGGTGGGCGACGCAGCCAGATCTCCTCGTGCAGGCTGCCCTGCAAGAAAGCAGTACTGAAGTCAAGAGAGTGTAGCTCGTAGTCACGGTGAGCAGCTATGTGTAGCAGTACACGAAGAGTGGTCATCTTCGGGGTGGGAGAGAAGGTCTGAAAGTAGTCAACTCCCTACCGTTGACTGAAGCCACGAGCCACGTAACGCGCCTTGAAGACAGGCGGAGAACCCGGCGGCCGCTTCACCCTGAAAATCCACATGCCACTGACGATGTTCGCCCCAGGTGGGGGAACCTCGTCAACGTAGGTGGGGTGGTAGAACTGCCACCCTGGCGCGTCAGGGGGGAAGCCAAGGAAGACGCATGGAGCAGGACGACGGGACAGCTTGTCCGCAGACAAGTTGCGGACAAACGCCCGAGATCTCCAGACACGGAACGCAGACGCATCGCCAACCTTCCTGGTCCACAGCAAAGCTGGGGAGGTCTCTAGCATGGAGACCTTGAGCTGAAGGTTGATCTGATGCGCCGCGTACCGAACCGCAAACGGCTACAGAAAATGGGGGGCAGCCGCATGCATCATGGACGTACAGGCGACGTCCATGACCATGCCAATGCGGCGCTCAGCAATCCCATTTTGCTGTGGAGAGTCCGGAAGCGTGAAGGTCTGGCGGATGCCTCGTGCACGAAACTAGGCTCGCTGAAAGCCTGAGGAGAACTCTCCGCCTCTGTCAGAGTGCAGACGCACACCTCTGCCACTTCGCCACCTCCGCCGCCTCCGCTCCCTCCGCCAGCGCCGCCGCCTCCTCCGCCTCCATTGCTGCCACCGACACCTCCACCCCCGCTACCACTCCCACCACCACCCCCACCCCCTCCACTGCCTCCACCACCACCTCCACCGCCCCCGCCAGCCCCTCTAGCACCCTTGCCCCCCTTGCCCTTGCCTGTGCGGCGTCTCCCGCTCGGGGCAGACGCAACGCCGACCGACTCGAAACCAACGAGGTCGGCCGTAGCAGCAGAGGCAACATAGGGCAAAAGGAGGGAAGGGGAACACCCCTCAAAGATGGGGGTGCGAGGGTCACCACGAGAGGCTCCTACAGTGACTATGTTCTTCTCCGCTGCTAGGAGGGCCTTCTCGAGGAGGTTAACGGTGAGATTGGTTGGGCAAACTGAGAGGAAGTGGTCCCTAACCACGCGAAGGGAGTTAGGGAGCTGGGTGACTATGTAGTAGAGGGTGATGTACATGGGGGGGGGGTTCTTGGCACAGAACTCAGCAGGAAGCGCAGCGCGGTAGCGAATGTTACTAGTGCGGAGGTGCGTAATGAGGTCTGCGACCGTGGGGAAGGCAGCAAGGTCAGGGAAGAGGTACCGTAGCATGAGGCGGCTCAGTGCAGCAGTAACAGGGGAGGAGTAGCGTGCAGCTACAGCGTCCTACAAGGTCTGAGCACTCTTGTACTGGCTAAAGTGCGCACGCTCAGAGGTAGGTTGGTGGTGACGCACAGCAAGACGTGCAGCAGTATCGCGTGTGGCCCACTGTGAGCTTACAGTGGCGTCAGCATTAGCAGCAGGGGCAGGAGAGGCACCAGAGGTGAGGTCAAAGAGGGAGAGGCTGTCAGCCCTATCGCACTGTAGGAAAAGCTGCATGTCATCTACCCAGATATCAAAGTCAATGGCCTGACCCTCAGCGTCAAAGGCAAGGACACTAGGGGTAGCCATGACAGTAGTAGACTAGCAGCGCGAACAGTAGGGTAAGGGCAGTGTAGTGATAGAGGCGCTGCTCTTTTCGGTCAGGGCGGCTTGGGCGGCTCGGCAGCTCGGCGGCTCGGTAGTACAGGGGCTCGGTAGCAACTACGGCTCGGCGACTCGGCGGCTCGGGCGGCTCGGCGGCTCGGGCGGCTCGGGCGGCTCGGGCGATTCGGCGGCTCGGGCGGCTTGGGTGGCTTGGGCGGCTCGGCGACTCGGCGGCTCGCGCGGCTCGGGAGGCTCGGCGGTGCGGCGGCTCGGCAGCACGGGCGCCTCAGGTGGTGCGGCGGCTCGGGCGGCTCAGGTGGCTAGGGCGGCGCGGCAGCAGTGCGGCGGCGCCGGCGGCTCGGTGGTGACGGAGGGGCCACGTGGGAATGGCGGCGGGGCTGGATGGAGCGGTGACGGGGCCAGCAGAGGCGGCGCCGGGGCCGCAGGGGTAGGCGACGGGACCAGCAGAGGTGGCGCCGGGGCCGGGAAGGGCGGCGCCGGGGCCGGAGGGGAAGGTGACGGGGCCAGCAGAGGTGGCGCCAGGGCCGGGAAGGGCTGCGCCGGGGCCGCAGGGGTAGGCGACGGGGCCGGTAGTGCGGCTAGGAGGGGGGTCGCGAGGGCGGCCTGAAGAGGCCGCGAGGGCGGCACAAAAGGGCCGCGAGGGCGGCGTGAAAGGGCCGCGAGGGCGGCGCGACGCGACAAAGCCGCGAGGGCGGCGGATCGGGGCCGCGAGGGCGGCGCGACACGGCCGTTAGGGCGGTGCGACGGGGCCGCAAGCGCGACGCGACGGGGCCGCTAAGGCGGCGCGACAGTATCTAAAGGGCGGCGCGACGGGGCCGTGAGAGGGGAGTGCGACTCGGGCAGAGTTGAGCGCGCTCCGGGCAGGAAAAAAAGGTGGTGGGCCCTAGGAACAGTTCCCACAGGGGAAGCTGCTCGATACCATGAGAAAATGAACGAGAATGAATTGACTAAGGGAATGTTGGGTACAAGTGCAAACCCTAGTAACCTGTACCCCATATGTGCTACCCCTCTAAAGCCTACAACAGCTACGTCATATAAACGTGACAAACTGAGCCAGCTTCGCTTCCTCCAGAAGTTTGCGAAGGTACAGCCCTTCCTTGGTGGCTTAGCAGAGTGTGATATATTCTGCTTCAGCTAAAGAGAGGGCGATTAATTCATGTTTGCTCGACCGCCAGGAGATAGGACCGATAGGTTCGAAGCGGTAGATATAGCCGGTGCGGGAACGCCTGTTATCGGAGTCGCCGGCGTGATCGGCGTCGACGTAGCCGATTAGCTTAGGAGTCGTGGTTCCGTTTTTGTGGTAGGTTAGGCCGACGGTTGGGGTGCTGACGAGGTAGTGGAGAGCGCGGTTGAGTTCTGCCATGTGATTTGATTCAGGTTTCTTGAGGTAGGTGGCGAGCTTGCTTGCGGAGTATGATAGGTCCGGACGACACGTAATAGCTGCGAAGAGAAGGTATCCTAGCTTTCTCTGGTAGTCGCGTATGCTGGCGGGCTTTAGTGGAGCGGATCCTTCCCTGTGGCTTTATGCCGTGTAGCGATATGGCGTGGAGATGGTGGTCGGCGTGAGAGCAAAGCGTTTGGCGATGGTGTCGGCGTACTTTGCGGCGCTGAGGTAGATTGCGTCCTCCTCTTCCCATATGTTGAGCCCAAGATATTGCGTGACGGTAGACGAGACCGTGAGTGTGAGAAATTGTAGCTCCCCTTCGAACCAGGTGGTGACGCCGTCGGTTGACCCGATGTAGAGTAGACCATCTTCATAGACGATCAACAGGATGTAATCTGTGCCCTTTGTGAGCCTGTGCATGCCTTGGTCGTGAGGTAGCTAGCGGAATCCAATGCGAATGAGTCTTGCGTGCAAGAACTACTACCACAACCTCGGAGCCTGTTTGATGCCGTAGAGCAACTTCAGCAGCTGACAAACTTGGTTGGGCTCTCTGTTGGAGCCGTGCGGTAGCTTGACGAAATTTTTTGCGTCGACAGGTGCGTAGAGAAATGCGTTGGCGACGTCAATTTGCCACAGCTTCTTTTTCTTCATGGCGGCGATCGCGAGGAGGATTTGCAATGACGTGTGTCGCCTAACCAAGGCAAACGTTTCAGTAAAGTCGCGCCCGTGTTCTTGGTCGAAGCCGCGTACGGCCCAGCGGGCTTTAAATTTGTCAATGGTGCCGTCTGCCTTTGTCTGCACGCGGAAGACCCATTTTCCGGTGAGTACTGTCTTGTTCCCCGCTACGCCGATGGGAACGACTTTTCAGGTATTGCATTCTTCCACTACCTTAAGCTCTCAGTCCATGGCTTCGCGCCATTTTTCCTTATGCTCCCCCCCCCAGAGCCTTCTGAACTATCGCAGGCTCCTTGGGAATGGCTATTCCGTGGACCGCCGTGACGAGGCCGAGTATCTGGAGTCCACTCTGTGGGTAGCGGGGAAGTGATGTGTCCTTGGGATAAACTGCTTCGTCTTCCACTTCTGGTGTAGCATTGAAATCTGGTCCTACGCGTTCTGCTTCGTTGGTGCTGACTTGTGCAGGTGTAACGTAGCCATTGTCGGCGAAGTGGTGGTAAGCTTCGGCGTTGATGCTATCGCGCGGGTTTTTTTCGTCCATTGGGACATCAACTGAGCAGTAGGGAAGAGGTCCGGCTTCTTCCGAGGCTCCTTCCACGTTCTGCTCATCCCAGTCAGCTTCATCTTCTGCCGAAGCGAAGGCTCGAGTCCCAAGAAATCCGCCTAAGAGGTCTGGGTTATTCTCGTCCACGTGGGCAAGGTATGTCCGGAGGGTGAGGTTTTCGTAGAAGATGACATCACGTGCTGCTACTGTTTCCTTTGTCTCGACGTAAAAAATCTTCTATGCGTTGTAATGCTTTTCGATGCCCAGGTGTAGTCCCAACTATGCGCGTTGGGAGAATCGACCGGCTCGTGCAGATGGGGGTCGGTACTGTACCAAGCAGCCGAAAACTCTTAACATTTTTGTGCTGCCCTGTTTTCCTGTCTACAACAGATGCGGTGATGCTTTGTTCGGGAGCGATGATGACGAGAGCAAGTTGTGCAGCATGACAGCGTGGTCCATTGCTTCGGGCCACTGGTGGTTGGGCAGTCGCATGCCTCGTAGCAATTTGCGCATGGTGTTCTGGAGGGTCCTGTTCATCCTTTCTGCTACGCCTTGCTGCTGGTGAGCATAGGGAAGAGAGATAAGCCTCTTGATCCCTCTTTCTGCCAAATACTGCTTCAACCTCTGTGAGGTGTATTCTCCTCCTCCATCTAGCTGGAAGCTCTTAGCTTCACGCCTGATTCTTGTTCTGCTACTGGGAGCCAAGCGACGAAGGCTTCGAAGGCCATGTCCTTGCTTGAAAGGTTGAGGTGCCAAACGTAGCGTGTGGCTGCTTCGATGAACGTGATGGTGTAGTTGTATGCATTCTGTCTGGGTTCACGATTGTACAATATGTCGCTGTACACCTTTTCCAGAGGTGCGTATGCAGGTGCGCTTGGATTGTGATGCGAGACGAACGGCTGGTGCGGTGAGTCGGCTTCTGGACAGGTGAGACACGTTCCGCGGACTCGCTGGAGTTCTCTGCCGTCGATTAGAAGTAATGAATCTTTGTCGAGCACGCCTGCTCGTATCGTGGTGTTTAACACTGTGTTGCTTGGGTGTCCCATTCTTGCGTGCCAGGTTCTTTCAGTGGCGCGATGTCCGGGTGAGCGCCGATACATGTCGGAGTTGGAATAGGAGCTGGCGGTGAAGTTGGCGCTTTGATGAACTTCTCGTGGTGCCGGGTTTAGCTGCTGCGCGAGTGTTGGTGGTGTGTCGTCGATGAAGATCGGTGCCGTTGAAGGACTGATGATTGGTGTTGATGTTGCTGCTGCTGTTACCGTTGTCTCTACTGCTGCTGTTGTTGTCTCTACTGCTGCCGTTGTTATCTCTGCTACTGCCGATGTTGTCTCTATTACTGCCGATGTTGTTTCTGCTGCTGCTGATGTTGTTTTTGCTGCTGCCGGATGTTGGATTGTCGCTTATGCTCTTGTTCTTTCTGCTTCAAGGATGGTTTCCGAGTACCAGAAGCCTCCAGGACTGAAGTCTGGGTCAAGATCCGGTGGATGTGTCCAAGAGGTGAAGGAGACAATCCCGTCACTATCAGCGGTGCCGAGATCTGGAACGAAGTCAAGGACGAAGACGTTGTTCTTCAGGACTACTTTGCCGATGTAGAGACCTCCTCTCCCGTGGTACAGCTTGAATTCTTGGGTGGTGCTATCTACTTCGAGGTGTATCCCCTTCGCCATTAACTGACTGACGCTTAGTAAGTTGTAGACGAGTCCTTCTGCAATTACAGTAAGACCTTCGACATCTGCAGTGTGACGTTTGTTTCCCGTGACTGAAGTTGAACCACACCTTGTCGTCGTGTACGCAGGTTCTGATTGTTGGCGACGGTGATGACGACTTCGCGTTGGAGTTGATATTCCCGTTGAACGAAGCGACCCGAGGAACACATATGCTGCCCACAGCAACTATCCAAGAACCAAGTGTCCTTTCCGGACGGCTCGCTTTGGGCGATGGCTGCATACGTCGGATTCGGTTCAAGTGATTCGCAGCGAGGTGTACTGTTGTCGAGTTGCTCTTCCGGTGAGTAATGCGGCGGTGACTCAGTGATGCAGGAGTCGGTTAGTCTTGTCATGCAACTGATAATGTTTCTTGCTCCTTGCGCAGGTTGTCCCGTCGATGTTGTTGGGGGCTTGTACTTGAATGGTAGGGTTCGCTTGTGTAGAAGCGACCTGACTGCTCGAGGGTCGAAGCTGCCGCTGCGTCATTGTCGACTGTTGTCGGTTGGGGCAGTGCGTGCGAGGGTGTCCTGACGTCTTGCAAATGTGACAGAACGGAGGTACTGGCTTCGATTGTTGTCGGTTGTTGTTATTGTTGTAGCGCCGCTGAGTGTGAAAGGCGAACTCAGATGTTGACGTCTTCCTCTTGTGTCTTTCT